CTAAGATCTACAGAGACACTTGCTGGAACACCCCAGCAAGCGAGAGTCCAAAAGTGGCAGCCTCAAACCCAGCACCTCAATCCATGGGTGATACCAGATGAGAGACTCCCCCCTGGGCACACAGAAGACAGGGTGACTTGGAAGGCGCTGAACAGACTGCGCTCTGGCACCACGAGATGCAGAGCCAACCTTCAGAAATGGGGCCACAAAGTGGAATCCTCGACATGCGAGTGCGGAGAAGAGCAAACCACTGACCACCTGCTGCAATGCAACCTGAGCCCTGCCACTGCGGGAGAAGATGCAAATCAAGAAGAGGGCTCCACAGCCACCTACGGACCCACTGCCAGGACACTGACCTTGGAAGACCATCCTACTCGGACATCGAGGGATCGCCTAAGTAACTAAGTAATACACACACACACACACAGGAGAGTATTCCAAATCACCACCTTCATATTTAAGCCAATACCTTGCAAACAATTTCAATCCCGCAGGAGGTGTCTCCGTGGCTCTGCACTCCAATCTTTTCAATCCGATTTATCACTCCAAGAGGAACGTCAAGAGTAAAATGTGGATCCTGGAATTGGAAGGGAAAGAAAACACCGCGCTTATTTACTGCAGCTAAGAACAGATATTTAGCGTTTGATAGTCCGCATGAGATAAAAACATACACTTATAGAGAGTGGGACACGTCAAAGTGCCACAGCGCTTTACATTGAGATGACAAACGCCAGCCCGTTCTCTGGGGGAAAATACAAGGGAACGTCCTAATTGAAAGAGGAAGGATGCGCAGGAAGGAACAAGGTCTCACCCTTTCAACGTTCTTGAAATACATTTTGAAGTCTGTCACTGTCAGCGTCCCACTGATGGCTCCCATAAATGGACAGATATACACGACATCTTTCGCTGGAAAAAACAAAACAAAACACAAGGCGTCGCTTTATTAGTGTAAGCATCCCTACCATGCAACGGACACAATTATATGTGCAAACAGGAGGAATGTTTTATGTGACGAACCCTTCTCTAACTTCATATGAATCTACTCTGACATCACGCTTGGAATGCACTCATTTCACATCGCAAATGGTCTGATTTATATTAAACTTCAACGTTCACTGAAGTTGATATTGAGCATATCAAGGAAATATTATTTATTTATTTA